ATACCAGGGATACCAGGGATACCAGGGATACCAGGGATACCAGGGATACCAGGGATACCAGGGATACCAGGGAGACCAGGGATACCAGAGATATACGTACCTCCTCCCATGTCTGTAAAGCTTGAGAGTAGGAGCGCAAGGAAAAGATTAAGAATTACAAGATTTCCCACAAGTACAGTTGCCATGAAGTATGGCACACAGGTTCCTCCTGCTACATAGATACAGTCCCACATAGACTCTATCCACTCTCCGCACAGTACACGGAACACAATCATAAAACTAGAAAAGTCAACAATAGATGGTGCTCATTTTCATTTTTCAAACATACAATATTATCGAGAAAAAAGATAGACATTTTGGTCTCTAAAAGTTTTTTAATTTTTATTTTCAAAGTCGGACCAAAAGTTTGAGCTATATATACAATTTATGTATATTAAAAAATATTAGAAAGACAGGGGGAGTAGGCATTAAGTGAGGGCCAGGGGGAGGGGGGGAGGGTGTCNCTATCTATCTATCTATCTATCTATCTATCTATCTATCTATCTATCTATCTATCTATCTATCTATCTATCTATCTATCTATCTATCTATCTATCTATCTATCTATCTATCTATCTATCTATCTATCTATCTATCTATCTATCTATCTATCTATCTATCTATCTATCTATCTATCTATCTATCTATCTATCTATCTATCTATCTATCTATCTATCTATCTATCTATCTATCTATCTATCTATCTATCTATCTATCTATCTATCTATCTATCTATCTATCTATCTATCTATCTATCTATCTATCTATCTATCTATCTATCTATCTATCTATCTATCTATCTATCTATCTATCTATCTATCTATCTATCTATCTATCTATCTATCTATCTATCTATCTATCTATCTATCTATCTATCTATCTATCTATCTATCTATCTATCTATCTATCTATCTATCTATCTATCTATCTATCTATCTATCTATCTATCTATCTATCTATCTATCTATCTATCTATCTATCTATCTATCTATCTATCTATCTATCTATCTATCTATCTATCTATCTATCTATCTATCTATCTATCTATCTATCTATCTATCTATCTATCTATCTATCTATCTATCTATCTATCTATCTATCTATCTATCTATCTATCTATCTATCTATCTATCTATCTATCTATCTATCTATCTATCTATCTATCTATCTATCTATCTATCTATCTATCTATCTATCTATCTATCTATCTATCTATCTATCTATCTATCTATCTATCTATCTATCTATCTATCTATCTATCTATCTATCTATCTATCTATCTGTCTGTCTGTCTATCTATCTATCTATCTATCTATCTATCTATCTATCTATCTATCTATCTATCTATCTATCTATCTATATACCTGAGTAGCCTAAAAGATCTGAGCATAGATAAACCAGAAACTCCCTCTGCTAGAAGTTCAACCAGAGATAACACAACGATGATAAAGTCAAAACAGTTCCAACCATCCTAAAACATTAAACATTAATATACAGTACATACTAATCTACACATTGATGTACATTATATATTACGTGTACGTACTAATGTACACATTAATTTTTAGTTCATATGTGTACATAGCAAGAACATGTGAAGTGTACACATTAACAAACAGTAAAATTGCAGTATGTTAGTAAAGGTGAGACTCAAGTTATGATTATAAACAATCCAAAGAAAAGCAATTGTACTCTGTGCAGTACACTACAGTGTAATTATTTTTTCTCCCAAAAAAAGCCTAAAACCCATTTTGATTAATATTTGTGTCTTTTTGTGTTTTTAAGCAGCTAGATCAAGCAGTATTGTACAGTACATATCAAGCAGTATTGTACAGTACATACAGACTACATAAGGCGAAACGGGACGGTGCACCAAATAAAACAACCCCTTTTAGAACAATTCTAGTGACCCTATTATGTCAATTATTTATAAATAAAATTTATTAAAAGCAAGAATAAAGATTTACCGCGAAAAAATATCTGGGTGACATGGCGTAGAGTTTAATAAAGGATTCGAAGGCGAAGGTGGCGGTGAAGAAGTAGTTGCCGTTCAACAGCATAGAGGACACCCATGGGGCCCTAGATTATTTTTATTGTTGTTGCTGAAAGAACAAGAACAAGAACAAGAACAAGAACAAGAACAAGAACAAGAATATCATCAACAACAAGAACAATAAGAAGATAAAGAAGACCTACCGGAGTTCCCTTCTCGTCTCCTCCCTCTAGCGCCTCCTCGTCATATCTAACCCTCCTACCCGTCACCAGCTCCACGATCTTGTTCTTGAAGAACAAGAAGAAGTTCTTGATACTTGACTTGATAAACCTCTTAAACCGACCAAACCTACCGATAGCTATAGCAATCTTATCCGGTTCATCATCCTCAGCATTTCCTGGAGATATATAGATATATAGATACCAGGGATACCAGGGATACCAGGGAAACCAGGGATACCAGGGATACCAGGGATGCTAGGGATACCAGGGATACCAGGGATACCAGGGATACCAGGGATACCAGGGATACCAGGGATACCAGGGATACNATGATATTTCCTGCCAACTCTTATTATCATGATATTTCCTGCCAACTCTTATTATCATGATATTTCCTGCCAACTCTTATTATCATGATATTTCCTGCCAACTCTTATTATCATGATATTTCCTGCCAACTCTTATTATCATGATATTTCCTGCCAACTCTTATTATCATGATATTTCCTGCCAACTCTTATTATCATGATATTTCCTGCCAACTCTTATTATCATGATATTTCCTGCCAACTCTTATTATCATGATATTTCCTGCCAACTCTTATTATCATGATATTTCCTGCCAACTCTTATTATCATGATATTTCCTGCCAACTCTTATTATCATGATATTTCCTGCCAACTCTTATTATCATGATATTTCCTGCCAACTCTTATCATCATGATATTTCCTGCCAACTCTGAACAACATAATATTTCCTGCCAAGTCGATTATCATTATAATAGTTCTTGCTAACTTTAATCTCATGATATTTTCTGCCAACTCTTATTATCATAATGTTTCCTGCCAACTCTTATCATCTTGATATTTCCTGCCAACCCTTATCATTATAATATTTCCTGCCAACTCTTATTATCATGATATTTCCTGCCAACTCTTATTATCATGATATTTCCTGCCAACTCTTATCATCATGATATTTCCTGCCAACTCTGAACAACATAATATTTCCTGCCAAGTCGATTATCATTATAATAGTTCTTGCTAACTTTAATCTCATGATATTTTCTGCCAACTCTTATTATCATAATGTTTCCTGCCAACTCTTATCATCTTGATATTTCCTGCCAACCCTTATCATTATAATATTTCCTGCCAACTCTTATTATCATGATATTTCCTGCCAACTCTTATTATCATGATATTTCCTGCCAACTCTTATCATCATGATATTTCCTGCCAACTCTGAACAACATAATATTTCCTGCCAAGTCGATTATCATTATAATAGTTCTTGCTAACTTTAATCTCATGATATTTCCTGCCAACTCTTATTATCATAATGTTTCCTGCCAACTCTTATCATCTTGATATTTCCTGCCAACCCTTATCATTATAATATTTCCTGTCAACCCTTATCATTATCCTATCTTGCTTACCTTCCCGAAGAGCTGCATGCCCATGACAGCGAAAATGAATATGATGATACAGAGGACGAAGGTTAAATTTGAGAGAGCTCCGACAGTGTTCATCATGATTGTGAGGATATCATTCAAGGACTTCCAGGACTTAGCCAGCTTGAATACCCTATACATTCATTCAGTATTCATTCATTTATAAATTCATTCATTCATTCACCTATACATTTATCCTTTCATTCATTTATACATTTATTCATTTATTTATTAACCTAATCACACATTCAATAAAACTTTCATTTATGAATTCATTCATACATAAATTTTTTCATTGATCATCTATCTATCTATCTATCTATCTATCTATCTATCTATCTATCTATCTATCTATCTATCTATCTATCTATCTATCTATCTATCTATCTATCTATCTATCTATCTATCTATCTATCTATCTATCTATCTATCTATCTATCTATCTATCTATCTATCTATCTATCTATCTATCTATCTATCTATCTATCTATCTATCTATCTATCTATCTATCTATCTATCTATCTATCTATCTATCTATCTATCTATCTATCTATCTATCTATCTATCTATCTATCTATCTATCTATCTATCTATCTATCTATCTATCTATCTATCTATCTATCTATCTATCTATCTATCTATCTATCTATCTATCTATCTATCTATCTATCTATCTATCTATCTATCTATCTATCTATCTATCTATCTATCTATCTATCTATCTATCTATCTATCTATCTATCTATCTATCTATCTATCTATCTATCTATCTATCTATCTATCTATCTATCTATCTATCTATCTATCTATCTATCTATCTATCTATCTATCTATCTATCTATCTATCTATCTATCTATCTATCTATCTATCTATCTATCTATCTATCTATCTATCTATCTATCTATCTATCTATCTATCTATCTATCTATCTATCTATCTATCTATCTATCTATCTATCTATCTATCTATCTATCTATCTATCTATCTATCTATCTATCTATCTATCTATCTATCTATCTATCTATCTATCTATCTATCTATCTATCTATCTATCTATCTATCTATCTATCTATCTATCTATCTATCTATCTATCTATCTATCTATCTATCTATCTATCTATCTATCTATCTATCTATCTATCTATCTATCTATCTATCTATCTATCTATCTATCTATCTATCTATCTATCTATCTATCTATCTATCTATCTATCTATCTATCTATCTATCTATCTATCTATCNTCTACCTGTCTACCTGTCTACCTATCTACCTGTCTACCTGTCCACATGTCTACCTGTCTACCTGTCTGCATGTCTACCTTACTACCTGTCTACCTGTCTACCTGTCTATACCTACCTCTGATATTTTGATCCACAACGCACAACAATCCCAAATACAAAGTACATCTAGAGCTTTTCTAAAGCAATCACAGAACACGTCTTTAAGCTTCGGTCCTTCCTCATCATCATCCTTTATTTGATAGAATTTGATAGAAATTGATAGAAATTGATAGAATTTTATGCAATTTGATAGAATTTTATGCAATTTGATAGAATTTATGCAATTTGATAGAATTTGATTGAATTAGAAAGAATTTAATAGAATTTGATAGAACTTGATAGAATTTGATAGAATTTGAAAGAATTTGGTAGAAAATGCATATTAATTAGTCATCAAGGAAAAATAGGGTTTGCTATTTTTATATGAAACCAACAAATTTGGCCCGTGGTATAGACCCTATTTTTTTAATATCTAGATACATAAAAATAAAAAATGGCATTAATAGATAGATAGACAGATAGATAGATAGATAGACAGATAGAGAAGATAAGATNGAAGTACAGGATAATAGGAATAGGATAGTGGATGAAGTACAGGATAATAGGAATAGGATAGTGGATGAAGTACAGGATAATAGGAATAGGATAGTGGATGAAGTACAGGATAATAGGAATAGGATAGTGGATGAAGTACAGGATAATAGGAATAGGATAGTGGATGAAGTACAGGATAATAGGAATAGGATAGTGGATGAAGTACAGGATAATAGGAATAGGATAGTGGATGAAGTACAGGATAATAGGAATAGGATAGTGGATGAAGTACAGGATAATAGGAATAGGATAGTGGATGAAGTACAGGATAATAGGAATAGGATAGTGGATGAAGTACAGGATAATAGGAATAGGATAGTGGATGAAGTACAGGATAATAGGAATAGGATAGTGGATGAAGTACAGGATAATAGGAATAGGATAGTGGATGAAGTACAGGATAATAGGAATAGGATAGTGGATGAAGTACAGGATAATAGGAATAGGATAGTGGATGAAGTACAGGATAATAGGAATAGGATAGTGGATGAAGTACAGGATAATAGGAATAGGATAGTGGATGAAGTACAGGATAATAGGAATAGGATAGTGGATGAAGTACAGGATAATAGGAATAACTAATTTTAAATAGGATCAGGTTGTAGTAATATGTATTGACTTATAATTTGAGGTTGAACTCAAGAAGCTGTTAGGCCTTCATAGCTCATATTTTGACAACATTGACAAAATGAAAAAGGTAAAAGTTCTGAATTAAATAAATGATCTCCCTGTCAGGTTGACTAGTGATAGGATCCAGGTGGATAGTGTTAGGCTTCCCTTCAGCAAACATTAGAGCCATCCTAGACATTCAGACATTCATTTAACCAGTGGGATTAAATTTGGTAGTCCCAAATTAAGAGTGTGTTTCCCCAAAAACACGTCCCAACCTCAGGTTTCATTTATTCATTCATTCTTATATTCCTGTGGGACAGAAAACCCCTCCCCCGCGTCGGTGGGACAGTAGTCCCAAGTAAAGAATGTGAAACCCCTAAGCCATGTCCCAAACCTGGAGGTTGCTGCATGCATGTACGATGTATGTATTCATTTATTCATTCGTTCATGCCTTTAGGACCGAAACCCCTTTAATCGGTTGGTGTGCCAAGAAAAGAATATGAACTTGTAAAACCCCAAACACATGTTTCCACCCCAGCTTGATGCATTCAGGCATTCATTTATTCATTCATTCACATATTCCTGTGGGGACCAAAAACCTCCGTCGGCATTGGAACTTACAAGGGTAGTCCCATATGATGTTCAGGAGAAACTTTAAACGCATATACAAACCCACGGTTGATGTTTGCATCCATTCATTAGAAGGACATTCTTTGTAAAGGATTTGAGTCTTTGCCACAAAATCAAATTTTCTAATACCTTTAATTTTCAAACCTGATGTTTTAAACGTTTGATATTTCAGACTGGGATTAATTGATCTAACAAAATGTATTGTTTGAAATATCCAAGGTCTACAACATTGGGTTGCAAAGATATAGAGATTAGAAAATAAGAGTTTGTGGCACATACTCAATTCCTTTACAACAAAAAGTTGTTACTTCTAATAATTTCTCAACTGCAGTCTCTGAAGCATAAAAAGAGCAAGTGACCCAAAAAAATAATTTTCAAAAACAAAAACATGGATATCTAACATATTTGATCAGACAAAGCTTTGAAGGGTATCTTTAAGGGTACCCTTCTGAATCGGACATGCCACTCTATCAATGGACAGTCACTTGCTCGAGATTTCATTCAATGTCTGATTGACAACGTTACACTTTAAACTTTTTTCAATACCGTGAAAGATCTTGTAGATTTTCTCGATTGAAAATGTTGTTGTCTGAAAATTTCTAAAGCAGAAACGCAAGGCCCTTTTTAAGTTGTGAATTATGAAAAATCAATGAGAAGATAAAACAAAGCTTTGAGGGTACCGTTGTGAATCGGACCTCCCACTCCTAAGGTGGAGAACTACTTGAAATTACATCTACAATCCCTTTAATCATGATTAATCTAATTGTTCCTTATTTTTTTTCCTCTGACCTGGATTGAAGAGTTCCAGTTTTAGTTCCAGGATACCGGAGATCTGTATGCGAGGTGTAGGAGTCCTTTCCAGTGTGGGAGTTGTAGGAGTACTTCCGACTAAAGATAGATAGATAGATAGATAGATAGATAGATAGATAGATAGATAGATGGTTAGATCAATAGATAGATAGATAGATATACAGATAGATATATAGATAGATAGAATAGACAGGGATACAGGAATTCAAATTAAACAATATATTATATAGAATTTACAGAGGACACAGGGGTTATAAAGGGGATACAGGAATATACATGGATACTGGAATACGGGGACACTGGGTCCCAGGGATACAAGGATACAACAATACAAGGGGATACATGGAAACTGGAATACGGGGACACAGGGTCCCAGGGATACAAGGATACAACAATACAAGGGGATACATGGAAACTGGAATATGGGGACACAGGGTCCGAAGGATACTAGGATACAACAATACAAGGAGATACAAGAATACAAGAATAAGGGTAAAAATCAGATGTATAAGAAGAACTAAAAGAAGAAACAATAAGAAAAGTTGAAATTACCTCAATCCCATTTTTGTTGGTGTATCAACGATTATACCCCCATTCATCTCAGATTTAGGCGTTACCGCCGTTGAATCATCGGCGTATGGAAGGTGTTCTGAGTAAACCGCCGATAAAGTTGATAATAAAACATTAAAACAAAGAAAAATTCAGAAAACTCACAAATGTTTACAAAAAATATTCTATAATATCCACTGAGCAGTTTTCAATATTTAGCTTGATTTTGATTTAAGCGACAAAATTCTAAAAATCTGTTTTAAAGCGTTTAACGGATGTTTCCTTGAGCATCTAGGTATGTGAAGAGGACTAGGGGTTTTCTAGAATCATATTTCTCTGGGAGCCGGACATGCGAATGGAATGAATTACTTTTAGAAGGACGTCTGATAAATGGTGAGGCTGGCAAACTCTTCCCATTCGGCCTTTCCAGGCTCTCTTCGGACTTGTAGAGGCTGAGGGTGGCAGAGCGAACGCTTAATCTATCTGTATTCCCTTCGGGGTCCATACCCTCCATCCCTTCAATACTTTTAGTTGGATACTTCGAAGGAAATGATACTGATTCTTTACTAGGGGATTGGAGATTAGATTCTGGTATGTGAGAATGAGAGAGTTGTTCTGAGATTCCTGCACCTCCGCCTTTATCGTCTTCAAAATCTTCCGCGAAGTCCATTGCCGCCTCCATAGCGGCTTCAGCAGCGGCTGCTTCAGCTTCCGCCAAAGCAGCCTCCTCTGCTTCTTTAATAGCTTCTAACTCCTCAAACTCCCTGAAAAAATAGTGTTCACATATCAAACTGAAGTTAATTTTAGTTCGAATTTTTGCATGTTCTTAAATATAACTGCTTTTCTGATTTGAAGGGCGTTTTGAAGGACACCGTACTTTTCAGTTCCTAATAAGATCTTTTCTTAATATGGGGTGTAAAATGGATAGATTATTAGTATTTCCACATGAAATGAACTTTCTTTCATTGAGATTGAAGCGATTTAAATAAATAATCATAATGCAGATGAAAGCACTTTCAAAGGTTCACAAAATCTAATATAAGGCCATAACCCTTAGGCTTGGTTGCAGAAAAGAAGTGTAAATGTCAATGTAACCTTGGCCAAAAAAACTCTGTCAAAAGAACATTTTTTCTCTCGAAATATCGACCTTCCGGCAGCATTAGAAAGTTACTAACATTTTGTTGAACATTTTGAACAGAATATTAGCAATATCAAACAAATTTTGTTTCTAGAACATTCTCCGCGCAATTTCGAACAGTGAACGCTTGTTATAAGTTGACCCACCTGGCTGTTTCCTCTTCCGCCTGTCTCTGCAGTTCATCATAGGACATGGCGACAATAGCAAGGATGAGATTAATGAGGTAGAAGGAACCGAGGAAAATGTTGAAGATAAAGAAGAGAATATGGTACGGACCACTCGTCATCAGAGTGATCTGCAAACAGACTTGGTTTATCATTCATGCTTAGACAGAGACCGCATTTAAAGAATTTGAACCGTGTCGCTAAACCGCCGACAACTGGTTCAAATTAAGGGGCTGCTAAAATCTCAAATCATCTGAACCAACCATGTTTAAACCGAATATCATGTTTGAACGCGGTTCAAATTCTTAAATTCGGCCTTAGGGGTGTTTACAGGATCAAATGTTTCAATTATAGGGAGCGGGTAGGTGGGGGGGGGGGATATTGCAAGTGTGAAAATAACCCCCCACCCCCCCTCCCACTTTATAGGAGTCTATGATTCGGCATTAATCCCCTTGATTTACTGATTAACCATTGTCCATGGTTCTACCATGCCAGCACCTATTACTGGTTTAAACTGGTAAATTAAGAAATTAAATTTGACAAAGTATAAAACCTTGCCTTAAACAAGAACTTGTTATATACTTTAGGACGACCGTTAAATATAAAGATTGTCGTCTTTGCACTCTCTTATAATTTGAAGTTGTACTAACGAGTTGGAATTTAAAAATAATTGAAAATTTTATTTTTCTAATACAAAAGTCCAAGAATATTACACATCTTATACGTTCTTCTGTATTTTCTACTTAAATATAAAAAAGCAAATTATCTTTTATCACTTTGAATAATCTGTTATCTTAAACTATTGCTTATTTAAAAGTGTGAGTTCAATAATCGATATGTCAATGAAATTTTCTGTACATTTAAGCAAGTCTAGGAGGAACTGAGCGCCCTCTATGATTTTTAATTTCAATCCCTATATCTCTACAACCTGATGTCGCAGTCCTTTGATATTTTTAAATATGAATTCTGTTGTGTTAAATAGTTTAATTTACAGATGTCAAAGGTTTACACTATAAACAGGTTGCATGAGAACGGATTAGAAAATCAAAGTTTGTGACGAGCGTACACCTAAGTTTCTTGTTTCCAAGGTTATAATGGAAGGAGCAAGTTAATTGCAGTTGCGTATACTCTGCGTACATATTGAAACCAGTTCTTACTGGGCGGAATTTTTAAACAAGAAGAGATGCATCAGTGTTCGTTTAGTATCCGAGGAGGTTAAAAGCATTAAATTTTGATAATTTTGATAATTCACATAATAAAGATGCGTACACCTTCGAAATAACTTTCCTTGCATTATAACCATGCTTGTTTCTGTGTGCTCAAAATTTTTTAACGGAAATAATCAGAAAAATATTTAAACTTTTCTGTTAAACAGATACAGATTACAGGGTGCTTCACTTATGTTAATCAAATACAGATTACAAGGTGCTTCACGAAACATGACAGTAGTGAAAGACGACATTAAGGCCGGCCTTTTTTGTTTAGATTTGAACAATTTTGGTTTTTTAATATATTTAAATCTGAACGCAAATCTTAATATCTCACAGCACAAAAATGGCAGCCCATTTTTTGAAAATTCCAGGACTACGGAAATTTTGCAATTATTGTTTCAAGAATACATGCAATAATAGGATTACGAATCAATGCCGCAAATTATTTCAAATATCAACGACGAACTTCAAGTCGTCTCTGAACTGTCATGTCCCTTTAATAATACCTGGTATAAATTCTCCCAATAATCCTGTGTCATGAGTCTGAAGGCACAAAGGTATGCTGTCACAAAATTATCAAAGCTGGTGTAGCCATAGTTAGGGTTCGGTCCATACCCAGCTAATCAATTTATCAATTTATTAAAAAAAAAAATTCAAAATAAATTTCAATTTTTTCACGAAATGTAGTTACAAATACAATACAACAGAACCCCCCCCCCCCCCCTTATTCTTATCCTCTGAAATGCATGCAAATGCATCAAACTTATAACTTTCCATACCTTTTTGCAATAATTTAATCAATACATCAGAAATAATGAGAATATTAAAGCAAACTTTCAAATATTTTCTTTATTTTAAGTTATAAGATTGGTTTGCATATAGAACCAGAAAACTCAGGAATAGGAAGACTTCTTTTAGACTCTTAAGTTATAACTTTTTTCTGGTTGCTACTGCAAAGTAAATATTCTATACAAAAAGTCTAAAAAAACTATTTTATAAAAAAAAATAATGATTTTCCTAAGCAGATAAAACCGTCTGGACATTTACCAGCTCCAGAATTGTTCCCACACATTCCTGAAATATTGTTGGTTTACAAAAGCGTATTTAAAGAAAATTTAAAAAATACATTTGGTTTTCAAAAGCATAGTTTATGAACTTTGAAGGGTGGTGATGTTTCTTTTCGACATACGCAAATCCAACATCTGACCTACTAGCACGTGGTTTTACGGCTGCTAGATGGACTTGTGGCTGCAGCGCCCGGCCCCTAGTCTGTCCTATCCGCAGCGCTCGGTTTACAAAAGCATTGTTTATGAACATAGAAGATACATGTTGGTTTTCAAAAGCGTAGTTTATGAACATCGAAGATGCATGTTAAGGTTTTCAAAAGCGTAGTTTAAGAATATTAAAGACACATGTTGGTTTTCTAAAGCGTAGATTATGAACATCGAAGATACATGCTGGTTTTCAAAAGCGTAGTTTACAAATATCAAAGACACATGTTGGTTTTCAAAAGTATTGTTTATGAACATCAAACATACATGTTGGTTTTCAAAAGCGTAGTTTACAAATATCACAGACTCATGTTGGTTTTCTAAAGAGTAGTCTATGAACATCGAAGATGGATGTTGGTTTTCAAAAGCGTAGTTTATGAACATCGAAGAAACGTGTTGGTTTTCAAAAGCGTAGTTTACAAATATCGAAGACTCAGGTTGGTTATCAAAAGCGCAGTTTACAAATATCGAAGATACATTTTGGTTTTCTAACACGTAGTTTAGGAACATCAAAGATACATCCAGGGTAACTTCAGTTTTTCATTTTAAAGCCGGACTGTAAGCGTAATTTCAAGTGACCCTCCATGCCAAGATGGCAACACCCTATTTACAACGTTACCTTCAAAAGCATTATCGGATCAAGTATGAATTAGACATATATCTTTTGTTTATATCTTTTGTTTATTTTTCATTGTGACTTGCGCATTTCTTGCTTTTAAGAAATCGTGGAGAAATTTACAGAAACAAACACTTTTCGACGTCAGCTTCCACAATATTAATTAGATTAAGGTTTTAAGGGTAAAGTTGTAAATCGGGCATTTTTATCTTTGCCATGGAGGGTCACTTAAAATTACGCTTACAGTCCCTTTAATATGAAAAGTAATCTAATATTTACCAAAATTATCATCAGCGTCCCTCCACCAATTAGTCTCATTGTGCATAAAGTAGTCCCAGGACTCATCACTAGTATTACAGTCTTATTTATCAGATAGAATAGATAAATTAATGCAGATATAATTGCTGGAAGTATGATTAGTAGAAACGCAGTGTCGAGAAAGTGAGTGGCATTATCTCAGCAATTTAAAGAGGGACATAAAAGGGCTGTTATTTAGTTTTTTTCTAATGAGTGCGCTTCGAGCAATTATATCTGCAGCCCTATATAAGTGGTTGAATAAGTCATTACTACTGAATGACTGTATGTTCCTAAAATTTCCCCATAGCTGGGATTCTTCTTCGTCATCATAAGGCCACTGCCGTACACACTTCTGTGAGAGTGTTCCCATATAAATTTGCAAACCTAGAGTTAAAACTTTCATTCAATGCAGAGCTTGGAACTTTTTAATATAAAGGATTAAATAAACTAATTTTCAAATGGGGAAAATTCTGTTTGAGATTGTAAAGAACTAGTTTTATACATTTCATCTGTTAGAAAATGTTTTTTTTCTGTCAACTAAACTCAAATAAATGAAAGTTTTCCTAAAAGCGCAAAGACCGCAAGCGCGAAAATAGTCAGTATGATCACATCTCTGAGGTTCTTGACCGAGTAAACTATAGCCGACACGATCGTCTTTAGCCCCGGTATAACAGCAACAGATTTCAGAGCTCGGAACACACGAAACGTCCTGAGGGCACTGAAGCTACCCAAATCTATGGCGATTGTCACGTAGCTCATGCCTATGACTGCAAAATCAAGCCAATTCCAGGCATCTCTCAAGTAAGTAAATCCTTCCAGAGCGAACCCTCTGCTTAGCAATTTGACTGCACTTTCATATGTGTATATAGCGGTAAAGACGACCTCTGTTGAAGCAGTGTACCTAAATAGAAAAAATCTATGAAATGGCAATAAATCGCAACATATTTGAGGTTAGGCTAGATGCAAATGTTATGGAAAAAATTCAGCTGATGCCGCATGTGCAGGTGTACATATTAGCTTAACCTCGGGAGTACATTTATGTACAGAATACACATCTCTAGGATCTAATATAACATAAAAAGATGATTGAACATCAAATGTTTATGCTCCTAAAAATACTAGTTATATCTAATAAAAAAATACATGTTTTCACTAAACAAACTCCCATCCTTAGTGGTGGGGAGGGGTCAAAATAGAATTATTACTAAATCTATTTGTGAAAAAATGTTATCCTGGTTATTAATAGGACTATCTTTTTTAATTTGTTTGTAATTTTAAGTTAAGAACGTAACTTTTGTTTAAAAAAATAAATTTTCGTAATCAGGTAGTATAATGATTTGTGAAAAAATTTTAATTGTAATAGCCCGCTCCTAATTTTAATTATTTTTCTTAATGTTAAACTATAAGAATAACATCAGTGTAAGATAAAAAAAATTGTACCCACTTTTTCATGATAAAAAAACAGGAGAGATAAGTGTAGAGATCTAATAAAAAATATACATAATATGGAACCATCTATAGGTTAAGATATTATGACTAAAATGCAACCCTGGTGTTGGATGTAGGAACTAACATTTGAAGTTTACCCTGGCGGCGGGCTCTAGCACTAAATTCTACACTCACGACAATAAATATAAAAAGTCCAAATTTCCAGGAATTGTTTTGAAATGCAGGAACCTGGAAGTTTGGTGGAATATTCTATATATGTTTAATACTATGGAATAGTATTACGGGTAAGGGATATAATGAATCATATAAATTACTAATGGTAAGTTTAGTAATTAGAACTGATCTAGAAAATTTTTGGGCATTTTTGAAATTGTCACATTTTACTAGAACACTATAACTTATAGGACACATCACAAATCACATTTAGCATGCTGCAAACATTCTTTAAAGGGAGCATTCGCTTTCAATCACAAACTGAAACGTCAAAATTATTATTTTTTTCTGTTAAAAAAACAACTCTCCAAAACTTTAGTCTCGAGATATTGAGTAATTTTTTTCGGGGAAATTTTTTAATTCTGAAATTTGGAAATTATATTTGCTTATTTTTGGTTTAGAAAGTTTTTCTCTACTCTTATTCAAAGCTATTTTTTCTGTACAAACCATTTATAGCTCTATTAATAATGATAATAACCATTTCCAGATCAACTCTAATTACCAAGATAACAGAAACAGAAAAATAATATGCTCTTTCTTTATCACTAAATTTTTTTTACCTAAAAAAGATAATTAGATTAGATTAGATTAGATTTTCCTTTACCAAATCAAACTTTATAGACTGACGACTGAAGAGAGGCTATTATTCTCCTGTAATCTACACTGTTAGAAACTTTTAACATCTTGTTCGTTATATCGAACTCACTGAAAATATTAAGAAATTACGAACAATTTCTTCAATATTTCGAACAAAATGTTAATTTTTTTCTAACAGTGAAAAAGAGCCTATCGGCAGTAAACCCTGTAGCTCTGAAAATATTGGTCTGAAAGACCGGTCATATATATAAACATGACCGGTCATATATATAAACATTACCGGTCATTTCTGTAAATGTTACCGGTCATTTATATAAACATAACCGGTCATTTCTATTAACATAACCGGTCATTTATATAAACATTACCGGTCATTTATATAAACATAACCGGTCATTTATATAAACATTACCGGTCATTTATATAAACATAACCGGTCATTTATATAAACATAACCGGTCATTTCTATTAACATTACTGGTCATTTATGTATACATTACCGGGCATTTATAAAAAAATGACTGGTTCTATATAAACATGACCGGTTCTATATAAACATGACCGGTTCTATATAAACATGACCGGTTCTATATAAACATGACCGGTCACTTATGTAAACATAGGTATAAGAAGGTTCTTCTAATATTAACCAAGGTGTTCCCAACTTTTTAACAAATCAGATTCATCTTTTCAGTTTCTTTCCCAATGCTTGCTACTCCGAATTAAAGGGACTGAAAACGAAATTTAAAGTGACCCTTTATTTATAGAGGGGGATGCCTTATTCACAACGGTACCCTTAATACATTGATCTGATTTATAATGTGGCAGATAAAGTTTTTTTTGTGGGTTGAAATGTCTTTTATTGCATTGTTTCCAACGCAAGAAATTTGCGAGTCACTTTTGTAGAGAAATCACAAATGAAAATAATCAGTTTTCGAAAAACAAAAACATGGATATCCTCTTCATGCTTGATAAGACAAATGCTTTAAGGTTACTGTTGTGAATCTTGCATGCCACTCTATCAGTGGTCACAATTGAAATTACGATTACACTTTACAAACCCTTTAAAGATATAGATTTTTCATAGTGACACACCCATGAAAATATTTATTAGGTTCTGAGCTGGGAGTTTTTAAATGAAATGAATTAGTTAAACTGCTTTTATCCTTATTAACTTTTCAAATTGGTCGCGTAAAATAATCTTTCACCATTGAAAGATAATAAATAAGTTTGAATAATTTTTCAAACACCCAACTCTATAATTGGGATGTCACTTAAAATTACGTTTACAGTCCTTTTAAGGTATTTATTACTGGTTGCAGAGGCAGGCAAAATTGAGCATATTCTCAACCAACGTTAAGCAACAAGATACTTTAGAAAAGAATGCTCATGTCGTCTTCGTTCCAAGTAAAATTGTGCAGGGCATTTAGCAATAATTACAGTCTTGTACACAGTTCAGTTCAATTCTTTAAATTACAGTATAATTTATTTTAGAGTATCTTGGGTCTTGGGTGGAACAGTACAGCAATTATGAAATTTTTTTTGTAGACTATAATTTGTCTGACTTGTTGAAAAGATGGGAATATCCTGGTCTAAGATAAAACATATGATGGGGGTACTAGTTTTGAAAAGGCCGGGAGTAGATGCCTTTTCTTCTAAGGGGGTCGGAATACCAAGCCTAATATACAAAATGCCTATTCATCGATCCCATCTCACATCTATAGGTCTAGTCTATGATCTTATCCAGCGTATGCAAGAGTGTCCCAGTTTTCGAACACAATCACAATAGTGACATCACATCACAGTCAGCTACAGTTTCTAGTTTGGAATTTGTATCTAAAGGAGTGTCTTCAGAAAAGTGTAGGTTTTTAATCAAATTCAAATTAGTGTTACGTCACTACAAATAAGTTCTATGTTAGTACAAATACAGTTTCCGAGACACTCAGAGGGGAGGTCACATAAATGTACAGGGGTAACATAGTACGGGTAGTAAAATAATATCAAAACGTGGTGGGGAAGGGACCAATATTTCAGGTTCTTCGTTTGTATTAGTAGTATTAAATTGAGATGACATTTTGCTGGATATTGGGTCTAAAAGGACAAATGCCATGTACATGCAAGAGGTATGATATTTCTCAAAAAAAGGAACACTCTTGAAAACTTAACCTCGTTGTATTTATTAACCGCCTCTGAACCTGCAAATCAAAAATGTAACATTCCGTAATTAGGTGAATTAGAACCTGAATTAAATGTATTAAAAGGCTGGGTAAGGGGTTGATTAAAGAAAAATTTGTTAATTTCAACTGAGGGAGAACAAGAGTACAACACACATAGCTCAAGACATTCTGAAGGGAAAAGATAACAGAGTTTTCAGATTTGTCGACACCTACCAAATTGAAATTGCAAATTTATTTTTGATGGAAAATTAAGGATATCTTTTTCATTGATGAAACAGAAAATGAAATATTTTTAATGTGTTTTAACTCTCAATATTTGAGAGAAAAAAACTTTTTGCTCATCCAATAACCCCCCCCCCCCCCCCCCAATAATGTTGGGTATGTAAGCAGAACCCCCTGCAGATAGTCTCCATACACTTACTTTATTAATGTGATAAACCTAACACATAGATATAATAATAAGGTTATAATAGATAATATTCTTGGTAGAAAATATTACAAGCAGCCAATGCAGATATGTTGACAATTAAAGGTATACAGGGGGTCTACAGAAAACTGCGAAGCGTTCAATCTGTTTACATTTAGTATTTTTGATACAAAGTGTCAAACTGGTGATTTTAATTTACTTTGATAAATAGAAACGGAAATATCTTTGCTTCCAAATGTAAATTATTGTTTGAAAAACCCCAAAATAAGATATTATTTGGAAAATATAAGTGTATTTTTTTTAAATATGAGACCTTCCCACAGGGTGTTTGATAAAATAGCACTTTAATCTTTTGTGTATTTTCTATTTCATATTTTTTTGTTGTTGAATATCAAAGCATATTTAGTCCTTTACATTTGAATGACATTTGTTCTGACATATGACAAGAGACTTTTTATTTCACTTTACAGGGGCGGATACAGGGGGGGAGGGCGGCAGGACATTTGCACCCCCTGAGATTTAAGAATAGCTCCTTAATCAAACTTAAGGGAAAGAAAACAGGAAAAATATCTATATTAAAACAAAATTTCGCCTGCGGCACGTCTTTTTGTTCCTAAATCTGGATGTTTTTGTTCCGAATTAAATCTAGCACCCCCCCCTCACTTAAATCCTGTATCCGCCCCTGTCACTTTATTATTTTTTCTAGGTTTAGCAAAATGGAATTATACTATTTTTGTATTTTCTCTGACACAACGTTTTTGTTTTCAAAATGGGACTTGAGACTTTACTATTTTGTATTTCTAATGCCATGCATTTTATACGTTGGTTTACACGTCTTAAAAATTTAAGTATTTAAGTCCTTCACGCGTTACTGTTTTACTGGAGAAGAAATGGAAAAGTCATCATTGTAGAGAAACCACAATTGAAAATTATACTTTATCAGACAAAGCTGAATCGGGTAATCTTTGCATTGGTGGTCACACGAAATTAAGCTCACAGTCCCTTTAAATCATACCAATTTCAGGAATAAAAGTCCATTGTAGGTTGCAAAGATGTGATAGTTAGCAAATTGTTGGTTAAGGCAAGAAATTAGTTCCTTTATCTATTGAAAAATTACAAAAAGTTTAAGATAATTGATTAAGTAATATTGCACAGAGATCACTCAAAGATATGACACTAAGTTCATAATGATCACTCAGAGATCCATGCAAAGGTTATGATTTACTCATGAAAATAATTACTCAGAGATCCAATTCAACTCATGATCTATAAAAGATCATTAGATCAATTTAAGTGCAATCGCTCAGAGGTAATTGAAACCCAGTCAAAAAATGATTGCTTAGAGATCCAATCAGAGATAATTGAAAACCAGTTAAAAATGATTGCTCAGATATCCAATGAGAGATCACGATACCCAATCAAAAATGAATGTTAGAGATCTATCAAAGAACATTAGACCCAGTTAAGTGCAATCGCTTAGAGGTAATTGAAACCCAGTTAAGAATGATTGCTCGGAGATCAATCAAAGATCCTTGAAACCCAGTTAATAATAAAGATTCAATAAAAGATAATTGAAACCCATTTAAAAATGATTGCTTAGAGATCCAATCAAAGGTCATTGAAACAAAGTTAAGAATGATTGCTCAGAGATCCAATCAAAGATCATTGAAACCCAATTAAGAATGATTGCTTGGAGATCAATCAAAGATCCTTGAAACCCAGTTAATAATAAAGATTCAATAAAAGATCATTGAAACCCATTTAAAAATGATTGCTTAGAGATCCAATCAAAGATCATTGAAACCCATTTAAAAATGATTGCTCAGAGATCCAATCAAAGGTCATTGAAAGCAAGTTAAGAATGATTGCTCAGAGATCAAATCAAAGATCATTGAAACACAGTTAAGAATGATTGTTCAAAGATCCAATCAAAGATCATTGAAACCCATTTAAAAATGATTTCTCAGAGATTCAATCAAAGGTCATTGAGACCCAGTGAAAATGATTGTTCAGAGATCAAATCAATTATCATTGAAACCCAGTTAAGAATGATTGCTCAGAGATCCAATCAAAGATCATAGTAGACTGAAAGCATAAAATCTTCTAAATGTGAAGAGTGAAGATAAAACTAAAAATAAATTTTCTTCTCGGTCTGTTCCCTGTCTTCTCACCTGTTTTTTTCACATAATACTCTTAAAGGGACTGTAAGCGTTATTTCAAGTGACCCTACATGCAAAGATGACAATGACTGATTCATTACTGTACCCTTAATCTAGTTCAGAGTCCGAATTTAATAAATTTGAGCCGCGTCTCAAATTTAAGCCGCGGCTCAAATTCTTTAAATTCGGCTCAGTTTTTTTTAAATCTTCCTGGTGGAAACCATTTCAAGAACTGACGAGGGTCAACCTAGACCAAAATATGGAACAAACATCTACTTTAATTACTCTCTATAGAGGTTTGGTCCATCATTATCACCAACTTTAAATCTTATCATAAACGTAGTTTTTCGGACTCGAACAGTTTTATTTCTTCGCACTTCTCTCTTGCAAAGAGGTCGAAAATGAAAACAAAGAGTTTTTAGCAACAAAAACATGGATATCTACTTCATACTTGATCAGACAAAGCTTTAAGGGTACCGTTGTAAATCGGGCATTGACAGCTTTGCCATCTTTGCATAGAGGGTCAATTGAATCGATGCTAACATTCCTTTTAAAAGAAAAAATTCTTATGTAATATCGAATTGCCAAAATCTTTCCGAAATTAAGAAAATTCAGTTAGAAATTACAAACATAATGTTAAGGATATTAAAATTTATGAAATATATATATCCCTAACCTGCTTTTAATAATTACAGAGACAAAAAATGTGAAAATAAAAAAAAATTTCAAAATAATTAAATAATTAGCCACTCGGTTGACCTAATAATACACAAAGGAGAACTCTGAAAGGTATTTTCAAATTCTGGAGACAAAAAAGGGATATTCTTCATAAAAAATTTAAAAAATTTAAGAGTAAAAATTCTTCATTTTTATCCAGCTGACACAGTGTACCAAGAATGCATCATTCCTCTGGTTTCACACAGATTTATCGAATGATATAATATTAGATAAAAAAATCGTCTTCACTTTTCTGAGACACTCTGTATGCAATAAATCACAATGTAGCGATTTTTTCCAAAAAATCATTAGATTCATTTACTTATATTAAGTCATGTACATCTCTCATCCAGATACAAGACAAAAATAAAAAAGTACAGTGTACAGTGTACAGTCTCAAACATTCTATGTACTTTGATAAAAGTGTACAGTGTACAATGCACGTTGTACACTATTGGTATGTAGCATGCACAATGGTACTCACTCAGTGTCCTTCTCAATCATAACGTAGCAGTTGACAAGGATGGTGCAGATGATCGCGAATGAGAACAAAGGATGACTCAAAACATGGATGGCGATTCTGAAAGTGAACATTAAAAAAATGTTTTTAAAAACTAATTACTCCACTCAAAGTTTAATTTTCTATTCTTTATACCTTTGCAACAAGGTATTGTATGAGTTTAATCAAATCATCAAAGTTTAAAATATCAAAGGTTTTCATCATTAGGTTGCAAAGATATAGGGATTAAAAATTAAAGTTTGATGCTAGTAATCAGTTACTTTGTTGACTTGGCAATTATGGTTGACAAGGAAATAAGTGAAAAGGGTAGGTCTTTTTACATTTTACTGTGACGTACTAGAATAGCTGTAGAACTGGTTTTAATGTCAACAAACAACATTTAGTAAACAATGATTGTCCTGGCAAAGATAAACTGAGCGTTGTTTACACTGTTTGTTATTGTTTACACTAAAACTAGTTTATGTCCTAGTGTGTCAACTTTTCCTTTTTTCTCATGGATTTTCTCTGAACAAATTTGACTCTAATTAAAAACAAATTCTCTGTTCATCAATTTTAGTTTTATTTATTACTAGCTGAAGGGCCCGTGGAACAAAAAATTTCCAAATTTTTAGCCTATAACACCCCCCGGCTACCCACGAGGGTCAACAAAAAATTTCAGCCTAATCGCTCCAGCCGTTTGGCCGACTGTACGCAACATATATATGAATGTCTTAATTTATGATATAGACAAGCTTCGGAACCCAGCTTTGCCAGACTAACTAAATTTCAAGACCAAGCAAAGAGCATTCTCGTGCAGTTTCCCAATCCAAATTTTAATGCAAATCGGTATAAGTGTTCCTATGTTATTATCGGACATACAAACAAACAGAGATAACTAATTTATAAATATAGATTACTAAGAAATAATAACAATGTCTAAAAACCAAAGTTCGCTGAATTTTTTATTTTGCCTAACTATTTGTTGGAAACTAAACTAATCTTGGTTCTGATATTCCCCTTGCTTATAGCAGCTGGAGGGGGGGGGGGGGAATTCTATAATTCAAAAAAAGCCAATGCACAAATGTGAACCAAGAATTCTTGTCAAATAAGTTAGAAATGATTGCATTGTAAAAAGTTCCAGAAATATTTAATAATTGTAAATATTAGTTCATTTCAAAAATGAGCTAGGAAATCTTATAAATATTGGGCTTGTCTGTCTGGACCGGGAAATTTGAACAATGTCAACATTTATTATTTTTGAAAATGCGCAAATTTCAAATTACACATATATTCACTGTCCCCCACATTTCATTTAAATTAATTATTTTTGAATTGATTTAAAAAGTTTAAAAGTCAAATGCTTTTTATCAGTCCAAACCGTAAATATGGAATATTTATTTGACGAGTCAATTATTATTATAAAAAATAAATTGTCAAATACCATTTTTAAAAGTGTTTCTGGACTCAAAAATTTTAAAATTAAAAGTTGAAAAATGGAGAATTTTTTTGTCAGTTTAAAAAATCCAACAAATTGTGTATCACGAGTTAATCAGCATTTTTTTGGCCAATTACCATTTGTAAATGTTTTATTTTTCATTAAAAAAATTTGATTGCTCTTTCCATAATATTGTTTTCTTATGGGAGATGAATTCGAACTTTAAAAAACCCTAAGAAAAGAATAAAATAATGGACTTTTTTTTAGTTTGAAAATGTTACCTTCGGACGGGATGAAAGGGAGAAAGGAGCCACATTGCCTTCTCAGCAGAGAACCTGGGCAAAAAGGATTAGATAAGTTTTAACTTAAATTTTAATTTTTAATATTATTTAAAGGATTTGAGTTTTTGCCACAAACTCTGACTTTCTAATCCCTGTATACTTGCAACCCGATGTCGTAGACCTTAGATATTTTAAACTATGAATTCTGTTATGATCAAATAATTTAAGTTTGAAATACCGAAGGTTGCAAAAATAAAGAAAATTCAAGTTTGTAACACAAACTTTTAAATTCCTTTATTAGACATTATTAAAGTTATACTTTTTATAGAAAACTTTTTGTGTTATTTCTTTTATCTTATTTCACAAAGCAAGTTTTTTTGTTATTTAAAAGATTTTTATCTTAGTTTAAAGTTTGAATTTGTATTTTGAAGATGTTGATTTTTAAAAATTTCTCAAAATTTGTTATTACAGCAAAAAAATGTTAAATTTTTTCCTTTTACGGATGAATTTACCTGTATATTGTGTTCCCTTTGCTGATAACGATAAATGTTTTCTTATGGGCGTAATATGGATCAATATCGCAGATAGGTGTAGAGGCAAATTCCAGGGGAAACTCCCCGTAGCGTCGTGGTAGGTCATTTCCTGGTAAAACATTTTAATCAGGGGACTGTTGTGTAATTTCAAGTGAATGGACTGTTATTTGATGTATGAAAGTTATATTAATATGTGTACTATGTGTACTGTTAACTAGTGTGAGGAAGCTAATTATGTAAACGAAGATGAAGTGAAAATCTTTAATTAAGCATACCCAGATACGCCATTTTTTCCCACAGTATTTTCTTACTTATACAAGAGGAATATCTAACTAATTGAAAAAGTTGTGTTTCACCTTTGAGATAAATTTTGAAATATTTGTCATAAATCAATTTTAATTTAACAACCCTGGTCCTGCCATTTCCAAAATGTGGTCTGCCTTTTTTTGTGCTTTCAAAATAACCGGAGATATAAATTAATTGTTTAGGTTTTTTAAATTTTGGTTTTATTTTCAAATGGAAATCTAAGCGAAAATCTAAATATCTCTGTTAATTTAAAGAAAAAAATAGCAAAGTACATATTGGAAATTTCAAGACTATAGGCTATTTTGTGACTATCGTTTCATGAAAAAAATATTTATAGAATTAGGCTGAAAAATTGATGCCGTAAACTATTTCAAAAGTTACAAATGAATTTCAAGTCTTTCTTAATTGTTGAAAAAAATCAACTTTTCATATTTTGTTAAAAATGAAAATTTGTTTTTGTCAATTGTTTTCATAACAATGTCCAATCATATGTACACATATTGAAATGTTTAAAATTAGACCGGAGGTCAACATTTTTGAAAAGATTTAACGTTCAACAAGTCAAAGGTTTAGTGGCAGCAGGCATGGATAACTTTTCACGGATTTAAATCTCAAAAGTTTACACAGTGGATATTGAGATCAGCCGTTGAAGCTAAGCGGTATTTACCACAAAAATTTGCCCACTGAATATTTTCAAAAAAATCTTTAAACATTTTTTTACCTGCCGCGAGCTTGGGGTTTGCTTCCAGTTCCTCTTCCTCGTCATCGTCCGAGTCTGCCGCGTACAGTTTTCGCGCACGCGCAGAGTCTCCGAATTCCTGCGCAAAATATCAGCTGATTATTTCCGTTTGTACTGGTGCACCATGAATCCGTGGTGTTAATATCTCATTTATTATCAACCAAGGAGAACATTAATGGTTAGTTAGGTACTGATTATACTGTAATGATTGTGAGAAGTATGAATGCAAATGCCAGGGTATTAGAGCCACAGCTTAAACAGATAAATAAAGCGATTACATTGAAGGAATTGAGTCTCACATTTTCGAATCCCTATATATTTGCAACCTGGTAACGTAAACTCTTGATATTTCAATCTTAAATTACTTCATCCTACATAATTCATAGCTTGAAATATCTAAGATCTACGATATTGATTCTCTCTCAACTGGACATTTATAGAAATGATGAAAATTAACTGTATCTCAGTTTGATCTAAAAAACGGCCAACAATCCCTTTAAGTATGGTTGTGGTGTGCATGTGTCGAAAAGGCAGAATATCTGAGCAATTAGTTAATTAGTACATGTAATTAGTACAGTTGAGAGAGAACTACTAATTAATTCATTAAACATGGAGGGAAGACAAGGTACAAGGGGGAGGAGGGG